CAAAGTAATCACTCTAGCCAATCACAAAGGACACAGACAATACAGTGAACCAATCAAAACTCGAAGTGATAACATGTAGCTGACGCGAAGCGCGGGAAAATGCCTGCGAGTACGTCACAATTTGTTTTGGTTGTACTTCTGATTGGATGAAAAAGTGGGGCGAGTTTTTCAAGCCAATTTTGTGGCGTAGAAAGTGCAAAACGCATAACTTTTCGACACTCAAATGAAAACTGCTCTTTTGAAAATGATGGGTAAACAATGATGGCCTTATTAAGCTATTTCCTTTTACTTCCTATGAGTTAAAGTACAAATCACACCATCTCGTGGCCTCAATGTCAAATTTGCCATTACCTCGGCAGTTTGTCCAGGAAGTAATTCAAATTTGAATTCACGCAGAACCCTTGCCATCAGAACTTTGGCTTCAAACTGAGCTAAAGTCTTTCCAATGCAAGTCCTGGGTCCAAGCGAGAATGGAAAATATTTGGCCTGTGATATGCTGTCTTTCCGTGCAGGAGAAAATCGATCTGGATCAAACACATCAGGACTTTCCCAAAATTCAGCAGACTTTTGGATTACATAACCAGATACGACTACGCAAGTTTTTGCCGGGAGTTTGTAGCCTCCAAAGTTTTCTTCCTTTTGCATGATTCGTTGGGTGGAGTATATGGGAGGGTGGATCCTTAAGCTCTCTTTAAGCGTCTGATCAAGGTACTGAAGTTTACTAAGATCTTCATAGTCAACATGACGATGACAACCAAGGACTTCTTCTATTTCATCTAATATCCTGACGATAAACATCAAAGAAATGTAATTAATGTTGAAAAACACATTGAACATTCATTTGCAATTAATTTGGATCAACAGAAAACATCAGAGTTGCTACCACTGGCATTTTTCTATGATGTCTGATCTCACCCCTAACTTGAATGGAAAAGCGCATTTAAAGGGCCTCTGTCGCGATAAAGTGCAAGTGTGGTCTTGATTGACACCAATTTTTTTTTAACCAATAGAAATCATAATACTATCACTACAGCCACGAATTTGCCGCGGGTCAGCTTAAAGTTTCACGTGCGTTTCGAACACATCTTTATCCGTCGGCTTCTGATCTTTTGTTTGAAACAAATATTTATCATGTTTCTGCCGTGTGAAGGCCTTGTCCGTTGAATACAAGAACATACACATCTTAGCTACTTTCTTCCAACTTGCACGCACATCTGCAGCTATATTAACATAAAGTTCCCGATATTCATCCTCTCTCCTTTCCTTGTTTGTTTCGTTTTTTTCTTTCGAAACAAGGCAGCTATGGGGCGAAAGAAGCATTCGTCCCTAGCCGCTTTGAAAACTCCCTCTCAAGGACATCATATTTCTCGACCGTATTCAATTCAAAAGTCATTTAGTATGCCCCTTAAATCTTTCACAGACGACCAAACAGTTCTTCAATAACGGTATACCATTTTCACACGGCCCACAAGGTTGATGGCGAAATATCAACTTTGAAAACTGTTCCATCGGATCAGAAATCAAATTGCCGCACATGCGCAGAAGGGTATCAATGCCCTATAAACAAATACATACGGAAAATGTGCTATATAAATGCATTACCTTAACGGGGCTTGAAAAAACACTTGGATTTAAGCTTGCCCCTCAGACAAGCAGCTCTCAAATTTTGCTTTTCCTGGGCAAGGCTTAGTTTATTTTTGTTATTTAATTGGCAAATGACTTGCCTGGGGCCCTGCCCATTGGGCAAGTGAGAATGAGAAGTTACTTGCCCAGCAAGAAAATGTACTTCTCCTAGACAACTGGACAGCACTTTTTTCGAGCTCTGCATAATCATCATTTAGAAAACTGGAAATAGCATTAAACTGAAAATTCGTAATTACAGAACATAATTCTGAAACCTAATAATATTACTATAATATATAATTACCTTTCTTCAATCTCCGGATGTTTCAGAATTTCATACAGAGTAAATGACAGTTGGTTTGATGTGGTCTCTTGTCCTGGCAAAAGATAGTACTTAATGATTATTGCTGGACTGAAAGATTTGAACAGACCAAACTTATATTATACAGGAGAAGAGCCCT